CTTCAAAAAAAATAATAAAAAATAAAATGAATTCAAAAAACCAAAAAGAGTAGACATTGAACAACAGGAATAGCAGAAAGTGACGTTTCAAGAGACACTGGACGGAACTTCTCCAGGGTCTTCCCTGTATCTGAGGATGGAGTGGACACTTGAACTATAGGGTCCCTGGCTGCTCCCAGAATCAGCTGGCAATGTCAGCCACCACTCTGCCGAATCTGGACAGAAGCCATTGAGTGAGAAAACTATTTGAGGGGCTCCAAAGCTTCCCCACCACCCTGGCAGGACCCCTGAAACAGTAGCACTGGAGCACTCGCCAGGGTGAAAGTGGGTGTCACCACTGTGCTGTTCCCATACAAATATGTGAACTAGGACAGAGAATCCAATGACAACAAGAGGTTTTTCAAATAAAACAGACTCAGTGCTGGGTGAGCAGCACACAAGACCCCTGTGTTCTGCAACAACGTGGGGGAGGGGGTTGGACTAACGGAGGCTCCCAAGTGAGCACGCAGAGTGCAGGCCACAATGGCCCCAACAGTGAGGACAGCCCCCTAAAAGGGACAGGATGGCTGTGTCCACACAGTGCATTTCCCCTAAGCACACAAACCCCATGTCCACCTCCATCAGCATCAGGACAAGCCCCATTCAGAGGGCAGAAGCCGTCACCTCCTCTGTCCTCCAGTGTGAGAATCACTCTACTCTTCAGCGCCATAATTCTTTGTAATAATCCACAATTTGGTATTTTTAAAAAGATATATTTTATTTATTTGAAAGAGAGTTACAGAGAGAGCTAGAGACAGAGAGAGAAAGAGAGGTCTTCCATCTGCTGAATCACTCCCCAAATGGCCACAACAGCCGGAGCTGAGCTGATTTGAAGCCAGGAGCCAGAAACTTCTTTCAGGTCTCCTACGCAGGTGCAGGGCCCAAGAACATGGGCCATCCTCTGCTGCATTCCCAGGCTCATTAGCAGGAAGCTGGATAAGAAGGAGAGCAGCCAGGACTTACGGAATGCCAGCACTTGCAGGCCAGGGCTTTAACCTACTGTGCCACAGTGCCAGTCCCACCATAATTTTTTTTGAAGATTTATTCTTTTATTTTGAAAGTCAAAGACACAGAAAGAGAGAGAGAGGGACATCTTCCATCTGCTGGTTCACTCCCCTGATGGCTACAATAGTTGAAGATAGACCAGGCTGAAGCCAACAGCCTGGAGTTCACTTGGATCTCCCATGTGTGTGGTAGAGGCCCCAGAATCTAAGCCACCTTCTGCTGCTTTTCCCAGGCCATTAGCAGGAATCTGGTTGGGAAGTGGAGCAGCCAGGACATGAATCAGTGCCCATACAGGATGCATATGGTAGCAGCTTTACCCATTATACCACAACGCCAGCCCTGCCATAATTTTAAACCTAAATGATTTGACATTCCTGGGAGACAAAATTTGTTTGTTTTCATATAGCTTATGCTTCCCATGTTCCAAGAATGTACTTCATAATTTTTTGCATAAATGGAATGGATGAGTAAATACACAAAGTTCACGCAAAAGTTCCGATTGATGGTGACTGCACTTCAACCAAATCCCCTTTCGAATTTCGCTTTCCCATTTTCCAGCCTGAAACTCCTTGGTCCACAAGAGCACAACCACATGCCTCATCAGAGCAGCAAGTCTGCCTTCGAACCAGTCGCCATGTCCTCTGAATTCGAAGGGACAGATAAAAGGAACAGGGGGTCACACGCGTTGTTCTCTGTAGTTGAGACGATGTTCACTGGACTGTGTTTTACCCGTGCCCTTGAACCTAGCCTCTCCCCCCGTTCCCTCCTGAAGCCATCTCGTTCCTCATGTTGAAAGTCCACCTTACTCCTCTCAAGAACCCTCTCCCGCTCCACAGAGCTGCAAGGCTCAGAGACACCCAGTGTCAAGGGGGACCGGGTGCTGTGTTGGGTGTTTGGGGGGTGAAGTAGGTAGAGAGACACAGCTCTTATTTCCCCTGTTCTAGAATTAGCCTCCTTTTTCAAACTGCACAACCACACACACTGGTTTCCTTGTTCCCTTCCTTTGTTTCCACGCTGACCTCAAAACCTTCCCTCAATCGTTACCCAGAGGCTCCAGCACCCATCACAGGCGCCTTGTCCCCTGAGACACTGAGTGCAGGAGGAAGTCACACAGATGGAATCCTATCTCAAAAACAGCAGGGCCTGGCTTTCACTGTCAATCTTACCAAAATCATACGTTTTCATGTATGCATGCACATGCTTCACATACACACACGGACACACATGAACTGTGATTCTGTCTGCAGACGTACACACTAGCCAGCAGCATGAAAATGCTAAGCAGGCATCTCTGGTCCTGGCTCCAATCACATAGAATCTCTTTTCATGAACACAGAACATTTTTTCAGCAGTAAGAGCACAGCAAGACCTGACGGAGGTCCAGCCTTTGGCACAGGAGTGCAGACACAGCCCTACTGTTCAGCACTGAAATGCTATTTATTAGATAAACATTGCATTGAAATAGCCACAGAACGTACAAGGCCGTTACAAGAGTGAACTTTTATTTATTTATTTTTTTGAGCTGCCATTTATTGCTTTTTATGTTATCTCCTTAAAGGAGGACTTTCATACCAGAGCAGCCTTGGGGAAAATGAGACCACAAAACAGGCACTCATGGTGGCGATTTTCTAGACCCTCCATTTTGCTAGTTCGAATATTTCCTTTAGCACGCAGGCTTTCTTTCCCACAGCTATGCTTGGCCTCCTGGTTTGCAGTGACGTTATGTCTGTGTCGGTGACTCCCAACTGCCACTGGGAAATTAGTGCCACAAACTTAACATCAGGAGAAACACCCGTCTCCGTTGTTTGGCTATGATTCGAGCACTCCAGTACCATAAATGCAGTCTTGATATGGGCATTCACTAATTTCTTTTGTTTTTCTACCATTTGTGGGCATGATGAGAAAATTTATGCAATACTAAAACCCATATTCCACATGGGTACCACCACCAGTCCTGCTTCCAATCTCCCCTGCCCTTGTCAACGAGTGTTCATCAGGCACCTGCTGCTTGAAAGAGCGCAGACGAAACTCTAGAAGCTACGAAGATAAAGGGTAAACAACAAGACGCTGCACTCCAGGAGGCATGCAAGGAGGAAAGAGCTACCACACACACACCTAGATGTACACCAAAAGAAAAACATGGACATTGGCAAAGAAGGTGTCACTCTGGAGGGGAGTGAAGACCGTAGGTAGGTTAAGGAAGCTCTGATGACAAGAAATGACTTGAGCTGGATCTTAAAGAACAGCTGAACGTGCAACAGCATGAAATCAGAGAGAAGAGGGCAAACGGTGTGTGCTAACATCAGAAGCAAGCAGATGAGGTGCATGATGGGACAACGGCAGTGGCCACATCCAGTTTGGGCAGCTGGGCTCATGGTGGCAACAGCAGCCACATTCAGCCTCTGCCTGATGCCCCCTCCTTCACTGACTCTGATCTGTGTCCCAGACCCGCCAGCTCAAGGCCGACTTCACTCATCATGGGCATGGTCCAGGAGCACCAAGAACCTTAGAAAAATTCAGCTGGACCTCATTCTTATCTAAAAGATTAGAAGAGAGATCACAAAAATGTTAAGATAAATTGAACATATGTATATGTTGGACTCTTTTTTATTATTATTTTTATTTTTTGACAGGCAGAGTTAGACAGTGAGAGAGAGAGACAGAGAGAAAGGTCTTCCTTCCGTTGGTTCACTCCCCTAATGGCTGCTACAGCCAGCGCTGTGCCGATCCAAAGCCAGGAGTCAGGTGCTTCCTCCTGGTCTCCCATGCAGGTGCAGGGCCCAAGCACTTGAGCCATCCTCCACTGCCTTCCCGGGCCACAGCAGAGAGGTGGACTGGAAGAGGAGCAACTGGGACAGAATCCAGTGCCCTGACTGGGATTAGAACCCAGGGTGCCGGCGCTGCAGGCAGAGGATTAGCCAAGTGAGCCACGGTGCCAGCCTATGTTGGACTCTTGATGCCCACTGTGAAACCAAGTGAGGCTTAATAAATACTTCTTTAAAAGTATTTATTTATTTGAGAGGCAGAGTTACAGAAAGAAAGGAAAAGACAGACACAGAGATGTTCCATCCACTGGTTCACTCCCCAGATGGCTGCAACAGCTGGTGTTGGTCCCAGGATGAAAGCCAGCAGCCAGAAGCTTCATCTGAGGCTCCCTTCTGGGTGACAGGAGCCCAAGCACTTGTGCCATCTATTGCTGCTTTACCAGGTGCATTAGCAGGGAGCTGGATCAGAAGCGGAGTAGCCGGGACTCAAACTGGCACGCATGTGGGATGCCATTCTTGCAGGTGGTGGCTTTACCCACTGCACCACAATGCTGCCTCCAATAAACATTTTTCTAAATACTGAATGAATAGGGACAAGTGTTGTGGCATAGCATGTTAAGATGTTGCTTACTGGTGGTGGTTCAAGTCCCAGCTGCTCTGCTTCTGATCTAGCTCCCTGTTTATTTGGGGCTGGAAGAGCTGTGGAGGATGGCTTAGGTGCCTGGACCCCTGCTGCCCATGTGGGAGACCCAGATGGAGTTCCAGGCTCCTGGCTTTGCCCTGGCCCAGCCCCAGTCATTGTGGCCATGGGCAGTGAACCAGTGGAGAGAAGATTTCTCTCCCTCTCTCTCTGTCTCTCTCTCTTTCTCTCTTCTAACTCTGCCTTTCAAATAAATAAATAAATCTTAGAAAACACAGATGTATGTGACCTTGGGTAGGCTCTGGCTTCTTAGACATAGTGTAAAGAAAAGCATAAGCCACCAAAGGAAAAAAAATAATGAATGAATGATAGAAAGACAAAGAAAAATGGTCAAATTGTTGCAGGTTGGTAAAATGATTAGTAAACTGTTAGACTTTGGTGAATCTGTGTGGAATCGCTAACACAAACACATTTGAAACATGATGTATTTATGCAGCGCTTGCTCACATCCCAGTATCTAACCATTTCATGGTGTATGTGTCTTTTCCTAGGGCCTGCTTCATGGCTGCATACGGGGACAATTCTTGGGGCAGAGCTACACGGGGCTGCAGTTGTTGGAACTGAAAACGTTCTTAAGTTGCTTCTGGGGGTCCACTTCTCAAGCTGAAATGGGACAACAGTATTTACCACGATGCTCTCCTAAGATGACCACACAAGATACAAAATGTAAGACCCAAAAGACGCCGCTGAAAATGCAGCCCTGTCACAATTCATTTCAGAAGCCCAGCACTAATGAAAAAAGAGCGAATCTATTTGTTTTTAAGGAAAAGCTTTCTTCAGCCCCGCTTAGGGCATGATTTATAGCCGTGATTTTCACGTGGCTTCCACCAACCCTGCTGGCCTGCCTTTGTTGAGTGCTGGTGGCAGTTGGGGATAAATGGCTTTCTATCTTCTGGTATCACATGTCCTACCTCAAATGTAATTACAAGTTTCTGGAAGCTGCATATAAAGGACTCATTGAGACCAGCCGTTCAGGTTGTTTACTGTGGACCATACAGACAGTTATTCAGAACTGTAAACTCACTCAGTGACTAATAGACTTTAAAAAAAAATGAATAAACCTCTTGAAACAGGGAACTTGCACTTTAATCAGTACCTGGACGTTACATTTTGCCGTTAGACCAGAGGCTGCACCCAGGGTTTAAATGTGAGGCCTTCACTGGTCTGTGTGTGCCCACTGACCTGGTTCTGTGGGGCTCCCACGGCAGCCTTCACAGCCCAGATGGATGAGGAACATGGTGACCTGCTAAGGAAAACGGCTGTTGTCAGCCGCAGCTGGGAGCCACAGACACAGACCACTTGCGGTTCATTCTACAGTTTTAAAGCAACAACAATCCCAGGAAAAATGGTTTTTGGATGTATTTTTAAAATGTGTTTTATTTATTTGAAAGGCATAGACACAGAGAGAAACAGAAAAAAGACAGATATCTTACTCCAAATACCTGTAACAACCAGGACTGGGTCAGACCAAAGGCGGGAGCCAGGAACTCCATCTGGGTCTCCCAAGTAGAGGACAGGGACCCAGAGAGTTGAGCCATCACCACTGCCCCAGGGAGCACATTAGCAAGAAGCTGGAATGGAGAACAGAACAGAGACTCGAACCCATCAATCTGACATGGGAGGCAGGTGCCCCAGGTAGCACCTAAACTGACTGGCAAACTGCCTTGCTATGCTCCTCCCACGGGAAATTCTGGTTAGTACAGCCGTACCCTGTGTGTTCTGAGAGTCTGCTTTATGGTAGCGTTGGCTTGTGCATTCATTTGCGTCCTCAACATTTTCCCCTTATTTTCCTCTGGCTTCTTCTGGGCCAAAAAAGAAGAAAAAAAAAAACATGAATGTTCATATTCTCTACCCTGCTGCACGTGTTGAGAAATCCTGTGACACCAACAAGTGTGACAGCGACCTGTCACGTAGCTGAGGGCTGCAGGTTCTGTGATGCAGTAACAATCTCGACTACGTTAAGCACCACTGGAGTTCTCACAAGCCTGTCCTCAGCCCTGATGGGGCCTGATTGGAAAAACCAACAAGCCCCTCTCTCCTTTTCCGGGGAGCTTCCTTTCTCTCCCCAGGAATAAAAGAGGTGCTCAAGGTTGTTTGTATCATGTGCAAGGGCACCCATGCCAGGAACAAAATTATGGAAGTCCACGTATCTCCAAACACCATATTTCCATGCAGTGTGAGGCCAGCCAGCCTGACCGGCCAGTGACTGGCAGAATGGGGCTTCATTCCATCATAAGTGAAATTCCTGCTGTCTCTGGTACTCTTCATACATACGTCCAAGTGTGGACGTGTAGCCCTCACCGTAACAGGCCAAGCATTAATTAGCACCTCTGATCCACCGTGGCAGGGGTGAGAGACGGGGTGCACATGACACCTCATGCATCCATGGTGCTGTTCGGTGGGGAAATCTGTCTCCCAGTTCTGACTCCCAACCAGCTAAAACTCCATGCCAGTGCCATGGTGTCCAGAACGCTGACTCCACAAACAACACACAGACACAGCAGAGCGCCTGGGAGTGAGAGAGGCAAGGGTGCTGTGGTGACCGTGGGGCCAGGGTGGGTGACAAGCAGAGCGGACAGGAGCATTCTCAGAGCATGTCAGGGAGCAGCCCAGCCTCCTCTAAAGATCAAAAGATTTCATCAAAATAAATTTTTAAAAAAACAGCACTTACAAGGCGGATAAGGAAAAATGGAATGTTCCAGGACTGCCACTGCAATGCCAGCATTTCTGGAACCTCACACGGGGGCCCAGATGTCTTCCCTTTACCAAAGACTGCTCCATGGAGAGGAGCCTGAGACCACCCTAGGGAGCTTTCTCACCACAAGGGACCAGGCAGATAGAGAAAACACTGCTAACAAACGGCTATGAGTGTGCTACACAGCTATAGAACCAAGTCTCTTCCCTCGTGGGCCCAGAGCCTTGGCAGCCAGCTTGGGAGCCTGCTCTCACACTGGAGCGGCTGGGACTCGAACTGGTGCCCATATGGGATGCCAGTGCTTAGGCCAGGGAAAAATGAGTCGTGCAGGACACTGAGGACTTAACTAGAAGATGGAAGATCTCTGCCGGTCTGTTTCCGTCTGTCTCTGGCTTTCTGATAAACGAAAATAAGTCAATTTTTTAAAATTGTAAAAAATTTTTTCTAATTGACGGTGTTGCACCCACTTATAAACTTGTGATTATAGGCTATATATATGTTTCTAAGTTCTACAGCTCTATATTATAATACAACTGTTGTATGCACTCATAAATCTACAAAAGCACATATTACCACACAGTTGTCTTTCCATCATTTGGTCTCTGCGGCCTTCACTTAAAGAGCAGCCCACTTAGAAGTTGCAGACGCACCATGAGGACCTACAATCCATCATGCCAGCAAGTGCGGGGAGAGCCCTGCGGTTTACAGAGCGCCTCCTCACAAAGGCACATACTGTGCTGATGAGTTAGCTCTACCTAATTTATCACAGCGTCTCCCCCTGGAAGGGAGATTAACCGTAATTTTTCATCTTAGATAGAAATCCACTCAACTCCATCTGTGGCAGAGGGCAAACTAGCCTTTGCCTAAGTAGTCCCAGTGATGAGGCAAAGGGGCTTGTAATGTTACAGGAGCTCTCACTCGAAGTCCCTTGAAACCCACACGTGGCCCCTTCTAATTTCTATCCTCTGGTCTCGTTGACTCTTAGACGCAATGCTTGACAACCTTACCACCTCTTCTCTGTGGGAGCTACTCACATATGTGCAGGTAACATTTACAACCCTGACAGGTCTCCTGAAGGAAGGCAGGGACTCTGAGGTCAGGACGAAGCCTGTGGTGTGTGTTGTGTCTCTTTAGAACTCTCTGTGTAGGTCTTCTGCCGTCGAGCCTTGGAGGAATGTCAAGTAACCGCCCACAACTCAGAAGACAACCAACAGAACAACTCCTCTCTCACAGCTTCATGTGCTTGGATCTACAGTCCAAAACCCCAGAGATAATGACAATATTCCAAAGGATTAGGTGTTAAAAATGGTCTCTCACTGGGGCCAGTACTGTAGTGCAGCGGGCTACAGCCCCAGCCTGCAGCGCCAACATCCCATATGGGAGCCAGTTTGAGTCCCAGCTGACCTACTTCTGATCCAGCTCCCTGCTAATGTGCCTGGGAAAGCAGCGAATGATGGCCTCAGTCCTTGGGCCCCTGCAACCATGTGGGAGACCCAGAAGAAGCTCCTGGCTCCTGGCTCCTGGCTTTGGATCAGCTCAGGCCATTTGTGGCCATTTGGGGAGTGAACCAGGGGATGGAAGACCTCTCTCTCTCTCTCTCTCTCTCTCTCTCTCTCTCTCTGTAACTCTTTCAAATAAAAAAAAAATCTTTAAAAAAAATGGTCTCTTGCTCATGGAACAAGACCAAGAGATGTGTAAGAAGGCACTCAGGCTATGATGGGGTGGAGAAGAATGGGCAAGATTAACTAGTTTTACATTACTCTATTCATCTTCATTATTCACTTGCCTTTATTCTGATCTTAATAAAATATCCTAATCTTCTCTCAACTGTTAAGTAACATTGGAAGTGAAAGACAAAAGAGAAACCACACAGCAGCAAGATTAGCCTTCAACTCCTTTACTGGGTCCAAGATAAACAGCCTAAGTGCATCTCACAAGTGCAGCACCACCAAACAGCCAGAGGAAGGAGGCCCCAAGGACAGAAGCCCTGGGATCAGCCCGAAACTTGAGGCAAGGACTGCACATTTGATTCTGTATCTGAAAAACTAAGATGATAGTTTAATAGTTACAACACAAATAAGCAGCAAAATACTTCACTCAGTAACATTCAAGAGATAAGGCTTAATTTCAAAGAATGTAGCCAGCACTGAGGCATAGTAGACTAAGCTTCTGCCTGTGGCACTGGCATCCCATATGAGTGCCAGTTCATCTCCCAGCTGCTCCTCTTCCCATCCAGCTCTCTGCCTATGGCCTGGGAAACCAGTGGAGGATGACCCAAGCGCTTGGGTTCCTGTACCTGTGTGGGAGATTGGGAAGAAGCTCCTGGCTCCTGCCTTCGAATCAGCCCAGCTCTGGCTATTACAGCCATATGGGGAGTGAACTAGAGGATGGAGGATCTTTCTCTCTGCCTCTGCCTCTCTGTAACTCTCCCTTCCAAATAAATAAATAAATAAATACCAAAAAAAAAAAAAAAGGCATCTACATCACGTATCACAGTGCCTATGAGAAAGTCTTGGCTCCAGCTCCTAAACCACTTTCCTAATGATGCAGACCCTAGGAGGTGGAAATAAATAAAGGCTCATGGCTCAAGTAACTGGGTCTCTGGCACCCAAGTGGGAGACCTGGACTGTGCTCCAGGTTTCCAGGTTCAGCCCTGGCCCAGCCACAGCTGTTGTCAGGCATTGAGGAAGTATACAAATAGATGGGCCCTTTCTCTCTCTCTCTCTCTCTCTGTCTCTCTCTCTCTCTCCCGCTCCCTCTCCCTCTCCCCCTTCCTCCCTCTCCCATGACTTCTGTCTCTCAAATAGTTGTCTTTAAAGTACCAAACACAATTAAAAGTATTCAATATTCTTGGTCTATTCTAATGTATTTGTTTACCCCACTATCTATTTTTCTTTCTTCTTTTTTAAATTTATTTATCTTTAATTAGTTTTTAACATTCAGTGTGCTTTGCAGGTACAATTCTAAGAACATAATGATATTCACTAATCATTTTTCACATTCACATGGCACCAGTAAGTCTGAACAGAGTCTATTTCATTCAGAGAATGCCATGGCCACTAATCAAAAGCTGTGCAGGTCCAAGACTTCTCCTGAGGCTGGCATGGCCCCAGAAGTGGCTCTGCCAGCTCACTGGAGACACGGGAAAGTCACAGGGTTTTGAACACATTGTTTTGTTTTTGTTTTTATTAATCCCAGAGTTGGCCAATTATATCAAGTTTTCTGCAACAAACCTCTAGAAAGGATTCTGACGGGAAGCCAGGTCAAGTCGGAGCTGAATTCTAACAATTTCACCGACCACCTTCAGTTCTGTAACAACTACTCTCCCCAGAACACCAGCTGGTGGGGTGAAAATTGGCCACGAGGTAGGGAAATTAAATTCTTCCTGCTCTGCTTTGATCAGATAACTTCTCTCCGCTCCCAGCTGAGCCATGACCCAAGACTCTCTCATTTATGTAAATTGTAGGCGATATTTCCTAGCCAGGACCACATAAGAGAAGCAAGGTGCCAAGTAAAGACTGGAGGATCAAACGTGTAAGCGATCAAAGTCTTGCTTTCCTTGCGCTCATCAGTCTACAGCTGCAGAGACTTGGTTCCAGAAGCACAGATGTGTTCCAACAAAGTCTGAGCACTTGGTGGTTGGCAGATGGCAAGATAAAGCCCATTTGCTTAAGAAGCCTCTCCTTTGTTAATTGTGACCTCTTAGGAGGACATACCAACCTTATCAAAATCCATCTGGGAGGCCAACTCTGTGCCGTAGCGGGTAAAGCTGCCACCTGCCGCCAGCATCCCCAAAGAGCACTGGTTCAAGACCTGGCTGCTCTACTTCCCATCCAGCTCTCTGCTCTGGCCCAAAAAAGCAGTAGAAAGTGGTCCAAGTCCTTGGGCCCCTGCACCTGCATGGGAGACCTGGAAGAAGCGCCGGGCTCCAGGCTTCGGATTGGCCCAGCTCCAGCTGTTGCAGCCATTTGGAGAGTGAACCAGCGGGTGGAAGACCCCCCCCCCCTCTGCAAATTTGCCTTTCAAATAAATAAATAAATCTTTTTTTAAAAAAAATCCATTTGGGCAGTGCCCTTTCCTGTAGAAGTGCCTTCTGCTGCCGTACGAGAGGGTGGCTTTCACGCCAGCAGTGCTCAAAACCCTGTGTGATCCCAGGAGGCCGGGGTCTACACCAGTGATCTGAAACTGGAATAAGTCAGACACAGAGACTGAGACATGAAACCACGGGTGAGAATGTGGGCAATTCTGCAGGCTGCACGGTTCACTTTGCTTTTTATTCATCCTTTGTCATTCATTAATCCACAGGTTTTTTGTTGTTGTTGTGTGTGTGTGTGTGTGTGTGTGTGTGTGGTTTTTTTTGACAGGCAGAGTGGACAGTGAGAGAGAGAGACAGAGAGAAAGGTCTTCCTTTGCCGTTGGTTCACCCTCCAATGGCCGCGCTGATCCGATGGCAGGAGCAGGTACTTCTCCTGGTCTCCCATGTGGGTGCAGGGCCCAAGCACTTGGGCCATCCTCCACTGCACTCCCTGGCCATAGCAGAGAGCTGGCCTGGAAGAGGGGCAACCGGGACAGAATCCAGCGCCCCAACCGGGACTAGAACTCGGTGTGCCGGTGCCGCAAGGCGGAGGATTAGCCTAGTGAGCCGCGGCACCGGCCAATCCACAGGTTTAACAGTGTCCTCTCCTTCCTGACCTGCTGACTGTAAGAGGGGAGACGTTTTTCCCCAGAATGCCCGAGAAGGTAGAGTCCCAGCGCTCACAGGGTGCTGTTTGTGATTACAGAGCTTTCCTACACCCATGCGGTACAGACTCTCCATTGCTGCTTTTCCAGAAAATCTAAACAGATTCAAACAAAGAGATTCTGTAAAGATTTCTGGGAAAGAACTTACAAGTCAGCTTGGTAATTCCAAGAGAAAATGTGCAAAGGATAAATTTGGGCACCAGGAAGACAAGATGCAAAAAGTAGAAGAAAATGAAACAAAAGCCTAAGATGACAAGGAATAAAAAATTCAAGGAAGAGGTCCTGATGGCCCTGAGAGTTAGACAGGCAACAAAAGCAACACAGAACAAATGAAAATGTCTACTTTATTCGCAGTGGGACAGCCAGGACATAGCAGGGTAGGGTCTTAATAAATCCCTGTATCTCCCATGCTTTCCCTTCCATCCAACAGCTGAGAGAGTCCAGGGAAGCAGAGACACTTTTTTAAGTCATTTAGACCAGAAATTAGTTATAGTGAGACATTTGGATAATGAGAACAATGCTGACATTTGAGACTGGCTTGCATGCATGGCAGAGAAATAACACGGAGACAAAATTGCAGGAAAAAGCCTAGGTGGAAAAAACATGGTTGGTGTTGGGTGCAAATCTCCAGGGCAAATACAGAGTGTTTGTCAGAGAAGTCAGTCCCACAGCATGAACAGGGCCCAAGGGGGGTAGAGCAATGGAAACTCGGGCCCAGGGCGCTCTCAGTCCCCTGATTACAAGCCTCACT